TCTGGCATCAGCGCCATCATTTGTGAGAGGAGTCCTCGCTTCAAGATCGTACACAACTGAGTTAGTTGGTCACTCTGTTTGTATTGCAAAACAATGACTACTGAAAAAAATTGGTATTTTCGATTTCTGCCATTTTCTTGTTTCCCTAAATGTCAATGTGTACCACCCGCCGAACAAAACCCTTTGCGACTTGCAGAAATCCAAAATATCAATATGTACTGAGTGCTAGAAGCTAGAACCACTTAAAAAAACAAAAAAAATATCAATATGTTACATTTCATATTTGTGAGGATGTGTTGCGAGCCCTATGCACCGCTTCGTCCGGCGGCCTTTACTGTACCAGCATTTGCCAGAAGCGGTAGTTGCTTCTTCGGAGATACAAGTGAAGGTTGTGGCAGGAAGCCAGCCGCAATAAGCCAGGCGATATACAAGCCCATGAGGGGTTCTGAAACCGTCCTGGCAAGATGACCCGAATGTTGCCGCAATAATAGGGTCGTATTAGTATCGTCAAGGTCCGGTGCTTTGGTGCTCGTTGGGAGATCATCAAGGACGAAATGGAGGAGAGGAAATAGCGCATTATCTTGAACTTCCATGACGTGCTGCTCCAGTTTTCGCCTCCAGACAACATATTCACAAGGTTCTGTCGCATAACCGTATTGTTGCAGCGATGACAGCATACCATTAAAGGTGGGTAGTGGCCGAGCAGTGATGTGGAGAACAGACATTGGAGCATTGGGGAGGGGAGATATTGCTGACAGAGACGTACAAAGGGCCACATGGTTGACAGGTACCATGTTGATAGTATTGTTCATGTCTGGCACAAGACCAAGCTGGATGCACCCTTTGACTAATCGCCAAATGAAATCATCGGTGTTTGTGACTTCACAGCGATAAAAACTGTCAAAAACGACGGGCTACCACAAGACGGACGAGCTCACCTGCTGTGCGAGAATCTCCTACAACGTATCCGGGACGTACGATGTGTCCATTTAGACCCCTTTTGCCAGCTTCAAAGAGCAGCTTCTCTGACACCCACTTTGTCTGGCCATAACCTGTCTTGAGTGAAGATCTGGCACCCTCCAGGTCGTCGTTCTCAGGTACACCGGAATACGGAGATCTCCCACATGATAGTGATTCAGAAAGTTGGACATAGTGATCAGTGTCTATAGCTGAAGTTGACGACACGAACACCATGTTCTTCGGCTTACCAGTCGAAGCGAGTGCGATTGCTGTTAACGTTGCAATGACATTAGCTGCCCGGAGTTTTTCATACGGGTAAACCCAGTGCACCTAAAAATGATGAAAAACACGCCCGTTCAAGTATATGAACCTCTCACCAGTGCTCCATTGTGAAGCACAACGTCAGCTTCATGACTGACGCGATCCCAAGTGACCTGCCCGAGTCCAAATAGATCCAAACCAAGGTCTCCCGTAACCACCTCTAGCCGCCCAGATGACACCCATGAGTCATTCCAAACACCTCGGTCTGTCGACCCCTCCTTCAAACGCGCTAAACCCTTTTCCGAAGTGGAGGCACGAACAAGGCAGATGACTTTATGGACCTTTTCCTCTCGAGAAAGAAGGTCGTGTAGGACGAAAGCGCCCAAGAAACCAGTGGAACCGGTGAGGAAGACAGTAAGTGGACGTTGGTAGAAATCAGAAGGGAGAGACGGATAAGAAACTTCAAGTCGAGGGAGTAACTCATTGTAATCCTGACCGTACTCAACAGCGACCGTAGCAGCTCTAGTACTAAGTGGACCAGGTGTGGCTGGGGTACCATTTGCTGTCTCGAGCCCAAGATCTGCATTACGAAGGATATCAACGGCACTAACGAGGCCGGCGATCGTGGGTTTATCGAATACCAGGCCCAAGGGGGCGTTTACAACGAAAACTTTACGAATTTCGAAGATTAGGCGTGTTGCCAGTATGGAGTGACCGCCCAAGTCGAAAAAGCTTTCGTCTGATGGTATAGGCTGAGGTGCGTTGGGGAGCAGGTTCGCCCAAATCGCACGCATAGTCTCTTCTGTTGAAGAACCCTTTTCAACCTGTGGTACTGTCGTTGCTGCACTCGCTGTGTCTGGGAAAGGAAGGGCTGGCTTGTCGATCTTGCCATTAGGGTTCAAAGGCATACGTTTCAGTGGAACGAAAACTGGACCAACGTTGGTTTCATTGTTTGTAAGTCAAACCGGTAAACCGAATGGATCACTTACGTGTTGGAACGCTGTAGCTTGGAAGCTTCTTCTTCAGATGTTCCCTAATATCCTTGATGAGTCTCCGGTATTTGCGGAAACCCTTATCCTCTTCCTCCTCCTGGATATCGCTGGCATACGTCTGGAGATCGGGTGCGTCAAGTGGCACGAAATAGCTAACGAGAATCTTCTCCTCATCCTTATCTCTCCTGACCAGCGTAACATTCTCCCGCACAAGCGGATGCTGGCTGAGATGTGTGTCTATCTCCCCAAGTTCAATTCGGAAGCCCCGAATCTTCACCTGATCATCTGCACGCCCGGTACACTCGACAATGCCACTGGGTAAATAGCGTCCTAGGTCTCCAGAACGATACATACGATCACGAATTCCCTTCCAATACCGCGACTCGGGGCCAGCGAGGCCCTCAACTGGGTGTAGGATAGTATCTCGCGGTACTATGTTAGCAGATAACCAGTTGTTCACAAACTTCTCAGCGGTCGCGTCGGCATCGAGGTAACCCTCTGCGAGGCCACCAGAGCGGACGTAGATCTCACCGACCTCGCCAATAGCGCATGGGATGTTCCTGTCGTTGCGGTTGACAACCAGTAGTTGAACGTCAACCATTCCTTCACCGGCAGGCATAATGTCCTTCTGTGTAGCGAGGAAGGTGGAATCTTCGGAGATTGAAGGGATAGCGAAGTATGAAACCGCGCGTTGAGTCTCTGTGGTCCCATACATATTGATGATACGAACATTTGCAGCGAGAGCTTGGAGACGAAGACAGTCACGCTTGGTTAGTACATCACCAACGAAGAACGCATTGCGAAGAGAAGGAATTTGGCGCGTGGCTTGTGCTGAGAGGAGTTGACCCATGGCAGGAGTGAGGTGGGTGACGGTGACTTCGCTAGCGGCCATCCATTCCGCTAGACGCCCTGGGATGCCGATATCATCAGCTGTGGGGACGTGGAGCTGTGCACCAAAGAAGAGAGGGGTGAACACTGATCTTTGTTAGAGTATGATTGGACGATGAGGCGAAGACGCTCACTGTCACGTTGGATGGGATCATGGGCAATGCCGCTCAACATGGTGAACTTGGAGTTTTCATTCAAACCGAACCGTTCACCCATCCACGGGAAGAAATGAGTTAAACTGAAGTGACGCCCCTTCACGCCCTTGGGGATACCTGTGCTTCCGCTAGTGAAAGACAGAGTGCCGACACTGTCCGGCCCGAGAGTGACATTAGGATCGATGTCAGCAAGATACAGGTGCGGCTGAAGCACATCTACTCCACTTGTCCCGATCCCTCCAACAATACCACCTTCGGGCAGGACTTCCAGTGCAGGGACCTCAACGCGGATTTTTAACTCAGCGGAAAGGAACTCGCGAACTGGAGGGCTAATGGTACCAGCGCCTTTGAGAACGATTAATCCACGTGGTTGTGCGACACGCAGGTAGATGATCTGTCGTGAAGCAGGGTAGGCGGGGTCTGAGGGGTTAGATTCAGAAAATAAAACAAAATATTGAAGTTGAGAGCTGACCGATAACTGAGAACGTAGCGCCAGCTTTGAGCACAGCGATGACAGCAACGACAAGATCGACGCTACGATGAGCATAAATCATGACAACCTCTTCCCTCTGAACACCTTCCTTGATGAGATGGTGAGAAAGGATATTAGCAGCACGTAAGATATGACTGTATGTGAAAGTGACGCGTTCCTGGACGTCGGCTAGCGATGCTGCTGGAATGCTCTGAATGACGCAGGGCCGGTCTGACCATCGACGCGCATTTCGCGAGAAGACATCAGTGATAGCTCCCTTCCATCCACACCAGTTAAGATCAGCAGTGGGGTCGGGGAGCTTGGCCCTCTGCGCGGGCGTGAGAAGAGATATAGAGCCTACGGGTGAAAGAGGGATCGCAGCCACCTTACGCAGGAGAGCTGAAAGTTGATCGATGATCCAAGTGATACGACTTGAGGTAAAGAGAAGGGAGTTGTAGATGATACGAAGAGATATTTGGGGGGCCAAGGCCGAGCGAGTCGAGACTGGTGGTCGGGTGACAAAGATTGTGAGATCTGAGGTCAGACTTGTCGACAGAATGAAGGTGTCTTGTGGCTTATCCGTTTCATCAAAGAAGCGAACACGAAAGATGGGAGATTCGAGGCCTTCGTCCTTGCCCTTGTTCAATTCCTTGGTAAGAGCTTCGAAGGGCACCGCGTCCCTTTCAGCCTCTCTCTCAACCTGCTGCACACGTCGCACGACGGCCCAAAATGGATCTGTTGGCTCTACTGATAAGCGTAGGACCAGGGGATCTCGTTCAGTCGCGGAAGAGGAGCCAATTACAACATCAGTGTCCCCGGTGTAACGATGTAACAACACAGTGAACGCTGCTAACAAGAGATGAAACGCTGAGGGTCGATTTTCGTTGACACCGTCGTCGTCGTCTCCGTCTTCGATTTCACTGTAGAGTGCAAGCTTAAGCAAGCTCAGCGATGTCTGTTCTGAAAGTTGTGCGACATGGGCTGCCTCGACGACTTTGTTAACACCTGTCGGCCTCGGATAATCGGTAGGAAGAGAAATAGAAGGCAGATTCTGCAATCTTGCTACAACTTTGGCGAGACGTTCGTTCGCCATATGATATCAGATATCTAGCCGCACAAATTTTCGTGACTATTTCGACGGCAATTTTATCGACCGGGTTGGACCGACGATTTTGATAGATAGCCGGTAGCCGAAGGTCCTCCGATTGTCAAGAGTTTTGTGTCCTTCCTGGTCCATTAACCAGTACATATAATTGTACAACAAAAATTATCGCCTGCCTAGCTCAATCGGATAGAGCGTCAGACTCTTATCAGAGGAGTTGGGTATCTGAAGGCTGCGAGTTCGACCCTCGCGGTGGGCTACTTGTAATTTTTCTCTCTCATTCACTACGAATTTTTTTCACAAGGTTGGACCAGCTTGTTTCTTACCATAGAATTCAACCAGAATATTGCATACCCTTTTATGGACATGCCAACTGGCCAAAACTGTTGGAAGGCTCTCTTTTAGAATGGAAAACCATTCCAATCAGTAAGCCAAGTTCTAAAAATTTCACTCTAAGTACAAGTTATTTATAAAGTGAAATTTTTAATTTCACTTTAAAAAGTTTAATTCTTTAAATTAAATTTAAAAATGACTGCTCATATCATCAATACAAGAAGTATCACAGTTTTAGGTAGTAGAATCAGATAAAGTTCTCAAATAAATGAATTTCTCTTTTGAGTAAGTAGTTCATAATTATTAGTCAAAAGAAGAAAAAAATTATGCTATTTTCTGTAGTTCTCCCTGGTTATAAATTTTTATTTGATAGTGAAAATTGCAAATAAGAGAAATTGATAAAACAATTGTTCTAGATAATGAGTCAAAGAAGATACTCCCTCACTTAAATTTTTAAATAAAAAAGAACATAAACGTGAAAAATATCTTGACCCACTAGTCCCCATTTGTCTGTTGGCAATGCTAGATTATTAAATTTTTCTTAGCAGAAAAAACTAAGGACTAAGCAGATTTACATAAAAGCCTGTTTTGATTTTGCACTAATGATTTTGTAGACATCCTTTTTTTGATTATGCTGAATCCAAGGACTATGGACAGGTACAAAGAAGTTGGATCAAAGGTTACCATGTTTGGAGTCCTCCCAGGCTTTGATGTTTTGCTATGAGGTTGACTAGTGCATTGAGTTCATAGCTGGCTGGTGTCATGTAATCTTTAACAAAATTCAATCTACATTCTTTGGTAAAATGGCCAGTACATAGGTGTAAATGGTAGAATGCATTGTTAGTAAGAAGTTACTCATGATTTGTTATTTAATTTGAAAATCCTTGCAAATTTGACTAGTGACAGGCTTGGCTTTCATAGTGATGGACTTGTACTTATTCTTGACCAACAAAAGGGATATTAACATGAATAGGGGCTGTTCTAGAAGGTGATGAAGTTTGAGTTTTTGAAAGTCCAAGAATCAGAATCTGGGGAGTAGAATACATAATATACCACCTATTCTTCCTGCTGGATAACCAAAAACTCTTGACTCTGAGTCTCAGTATCTTGCTGTGGTATATGCAACATGGATCATCATTTGGCAAAGCTTCATACTCTGCATATCTGTCTACTCTTCTAAGACTTGGCCGCAATGAGTACTGAATTCTAATTAAGTATAATGCTTGTCTTGTTTCCTGGTAAGCTCATAAAGCTGGCCTGCTGTTCAATCATCCCTGATTCCAAGGTATCTTAGATTGTGCCAGAGCATGAGACTGTGGGTACAATCACTAACAGGAGTAAATCAGTCTGTAACCTTGCCATTGGTGATCATGTTGTTGATATCACAGTCCTTGTACATGCAAATAACCAGAAGTCATTCCTCTGATCCTAATGGACAGTGTGATAACTGTTTTTCCAGTTGCCACAGACAAACTATTGAAACATACATACATCCACTTTCTAATGATGTCCCAGAAGATGGATATTATCAGCTGCTGGAATGTTTCTGGCACATTATAATTGCCAATCTGCATGATATTACTGTAGTATGTACCAGTAATGGTCATTATGCTGTTTTTGGTACATCTGTGGTATGTATTGATATGCTTGCCTCATACTTTGAGACAGGACAAAATACTAGAAGTACCAAGGCCCAGATACTCAAAAGCTGAAAACTGTAAGCTTTGAAAAATGCCAAAAACTGTAGGCATAGGGCATATACCTGGTAGAGAAGGCCAATGATCCAAGCACACACCACAACAATGCCAGCAGAAAACAGTAAAATCTAATGTCAAGAATCAAGCCTGATTACATGTTGATTGATGATCAATGGCTGTGCTCAGCAACCCAGCTAGAAATCTAACTGATACCAAGAACAGCCATGGGTGTCTATTGCAAGAATACTGCCCTATCCCCTCAATATCATCCCTGTTCCTATGCCAGACCACCCAAACCCAAGCCAGCCACTATAACAAACCATGCACAGTCTGCTAGGGAGAAGTTTGGGAAGGGAAAAGATCAGAGGAAAGAATATCAGATGTATAAAAACTGAATAACACCAACCAAGCATGCCATCTTGTCCTGCCAACCAATAAGAAGGAAAAGCCAAGGAAACCATGCAGTATAGACCACAGGTGTGCATGAAAAGCACCCTGGTCTGTGTGTGTGCAATGAGCTATAAAAGAGGAGGGGAATTGGAAGAAAAGGCAAGCAATGATGTACCATGGCTTGGAGAACCCCAGGGAGCAGTTCTTTTGAGCTTATAAGTTCTGAGTTGTTTTGGGTTTCATTTATAATATTATTGGGCCCATTCAATAATACAAGACCATCTCAAGCTTATGAATAAACCATTTAAATTATCTATATTATTGTTGCATCTGTGTGAGCTTGAGTGTTACTAAGCCTCTAAACCTCAGTGAAACAAAGTTTGATCTGTTGATCTGATCAATTGATGGCATCAAACTTACATTTTGCATCAGTATCCTTACCTGCTCATATGCATCTGTAAGGTCAATTTTTGACCTTACAGCCATGCAAGCCACATCCTTTCTAATGACCTCCTGATTTAGTAAGGGCACAATGTCCTGAGCTGTATTATCATTGCATTTTCAAGCATCCAATGGAATCTACAAGGAGCCATCTTAGGAATGCATATAACAGTGTGGCCTGGTTGGCCACACATGGTTTCCATCACTTTTCATGCACATAGCAGTCAATTTTTGCCACAATTTCTGCTGAAGTGATTTGGAACACCTCAGCATGAAGTACAAGTAGTGCTCGGTATTATCTATGAGATTTGTCTCATGGTTGACCTCATGCTATGGAGGAAGTTCCTCCTTCATACCATTGGCAATGTCCTAAGACTCATCACTGTAAGGGCAACCTCTGGAGGCTGTGGCTCAATCATACAACTAGCAGAGGGAGATCCAAAGTTTATTCAGTATCTATAAGAAGTTCTAGAGTTCTAGCTACTCACCTGGCAGAGGGAGATCCAAAGCAAACAAGACTAAGGATCCCCAATGCCAGTGTTCAGAAAATTTACTCTAGAGCTTCTGGAAAAAACACCCAACAAGAACCAAATCTGGAGTCTGATCAAAAAGTGGAAATTCATTGTAAATGGCCTTGATCTCTGGACCCCCAGCACATGACCACTTAGCAATAGGACCAAAAGATAGCCCTTGGTTGAAAGTACTTGTGGTCCAGAGATGGGAGGCCTATAATGAGTGTTAGGCCTAGAATACAGGAAACAATCCAGGGGTCTGGTAAGAGGCTATGTGGAAGGGGCAACACTTGTCAGAATTACAGACAGAGAACTGGTGCAGCCTGAGGGCTAGAACTGAGACCAGCAGATAGGGAAAGCAAAGGAGAGTAAAGGAAAACCATTGTCACAACCCACTCCCTGGACCCCCAAACATTGTTACTAACCTGCTTGCTTCTCTGGAGTTTCCTCCAACACCCCATTGAACTCCCCCAACCATTGTACACCCTCAGTGCCCACTCTGGATAACTCCAACACTTCTCTGGCAAACCCCAACAGCCCCCTGGCTAACTCCAATGCCTTCTCTGCAGCTGTCAATGCTTCTTTTAACTCTTCTGAGCCCCTGGGACCTTCTCCTGTTGTTCCTGACTCTGTTGCACATTATTAACTCCTCCCCCTAGTTTGCCCAACCAACCCTAGAGCATCATGACAACCCCAGAACAGCCCACATTCTCAACTGATCCCATTAGAATATCACCATGGCCCATCCCCTGATCACAACTAACACCCATTGACTCTGTGCGACTCTATCCAGCCCCACTGCCACACCTGCTATCCATCAGAGCTCTCCAGTAGTCAGTATATAAGTTGTAGAGTAGCTCCTTGTACTTTAGTCTTGATATTACCTGCCTTACCTGATGTGTTTCTGATTGTTTCTGTCTCATATTTCATATTCCATGTTACATTTCCCTTTACCTCATTCTCCCAGTCTTGTCTTGTCTCCAGTTCCATTATTGTTCTTGTTATCATTTTGTATCTCCACTTGAATCTATTTTCATCCTCATCTCAATCTCATCTTGACTCCATCTTGTCTTGTTCAACTCCATTTCCATTATTATGTTCAAGTCCTTTCAACCTCAATGCCCTTACAAACTCCATGCTTACAATTATGAACCTCAAACATTCTTTAAATCAACTCTGGACCTTGCTATTCTCTTGGCTCTGAGAACCATCAACTTCTGTTGATCTCTCATCAAATTCCAGCCCTGCTCTCATCACTCACATAGCCTCCATTTGCCCCACACCACTCACTTCCAGACTTGTACCTGGCACCCCATCAAGCCTGACCCATTCCCTGCAACTCATCCTAGACCTCTCCAGACCACCCTGGACTTATTCAGATCACTTCCCTTTGCTTATCCTCACAAGTCCCCAACATCTATACCTTCTCCAAATGCCCATTTATCAGTATAGGACATCATATCCACCTAGTAAGAATTTGCCCAGTGTAGCTGAGCTCCCATGGTTAGCAGAACCTAACATAATATCAAGACTCTCCCTTACCTCATTCACAATGTCTGCAATTAACTCTGTACACACTTCCATTGGAACTCTTGATGTCTATAGTTGGCCTGTGCCTGAGACCCACTATGATTTGTTTTACCTTGCCCAATTTGCCAAGGCACATTGAATTGCAGATCTGACACCAAATGTCCCCTCTGCTCCAGTCACTCTTCCATGCAACAGCTCTCTCCATGGACACCTTCCCTGCTCAACCCCAATCCCATTATTTCTGCACCACCCTCATTCACAACTCCCACACCTCCTCTACCAGCTCCTCCTCATACTAAAGGTCAACCATGACACTCCCAACTCAGTCTTGGACCAACCCCAGTGGTAAATGAATC